TTGAATTTGTTTATTTTATATTTTTTATAAGATACATTCTAGAAGAATTTAATGGTCATTTATAGCTTTTTTTTTTAGTAGTTGTTATATTTTTTATTCACTTTTAATAAACAAATTAATAAAAGCTTAAATTAAAATTAGTAAAAAATAGATATTAATAATACTACCTCTCATCTTTTCTAATTTATAAGATATATATATATATATATATATAGTTGAACTTTCTAAAAGTTCCATCACAAGCCACTTTCAAGAACAATATTTAATAGAATCAAATATTTCACTAACATTTAGTACACTATTATCCAAGATAATATTATTCTTCTTAAATCAAATTATCCATGCTACTACAAACTATACTATTACAACCTCTTTTATTTTTTTTTTCATATCAAATTTCACACACACTTAGTAATATCTTATGCAAATTTTTAGATAAGTATATATTGATACTAAATCATTCGAACATCATGTATCACAGTCTCGTAGAAGTATCACAATGCAAAAGAATGTGTAGTACATTCTAATCTTTAGTATCACAAAATTCACGAGCTTTTGAAAAAATTGTCAATTCGCATTTAGTTAAGTTCTTTTGTACTGGAATTGTATTAAGCAATAAACGCCACACTAATACCACTATTTTCTTTGGTGCATTGACCTTCCAAATTTTGCATGACACAACTTCAAATCGTTACCTACAATGGAATAATTATGAATGTAACAATAAGCAGATTGAACACTGTAGTCTTTATTATTATCATACTTTCAAATCAACATGTCATTCATATTTTTTCTCGGCCTCTTACCTTTCATAGTATTCCACAACTGCTGTTGTAAATCCTCCTCTCATGCAAATAATGCTTTCTCTAAGGAATTTCTCATACCCATTAGTCTATCTCAAATCGACCATTATTCACCATTCACGCCTCTTTATTAGTCGCTACAGAAAATAACATTGAATATGAATTCGTCAACGCAATGTTTTTCACCCATTTATCCCTAAAAAAATTAAAGGAACAACCATCACCAAGAACTTGTTTGACATTAGAATCTATTCACACGTCAGTTTGCTTACAAACTCACACCACATCACTCCATCAATCTGAAGCATTATGAGTTACTTCCAAAAAAGCTAACACAGTACATAATCCATATTGTGCTTGTAGCACATTAAAACATAATGAGTTTAGAAACTTCATCTTCTCCAAATCCATCTACTTTATTAATATTAATAAAAATTAGTTATGTATTGTTAATTTATATTTTTAAAATACTTACATATTTAAAATTTTAAATTAATGTATTATATACTTTAATAAAAAATTAATTTATACTAATGAAAATTAGTATATTGATAACAAAATTATAATAACAATGAGAGTACAAAAAAAATTAACAATTCATATGGTTAAAAATAAATATTTATTTAAACAAAGAAAAATTATCATATTATAATATTTAAAAAAATAATAAAATTTATTACTTTTACTAATTTATGTAATTTAATTAATGACACATTATTAAAAAAAGCAATTGAAGAATTAATTTTTTATATTTCTCAATTAAAAATGAAAATAAGACAAATTGTTTGACAGTGACTTATGGCCTAACCTTTTTAAGGTCTACTTTCACTTAGCCTATTAAAGTAATAAGCTTAATTTAGACATTTTAAAAAGTTAAATTAATTAAATAGTATTAGTTTGAGCTTAAAAAAATCTTATTAAATCTATTAAAATGACCTATTTAAAATTCATAAAATTTATAACAATATATTAAATAATTTTATACAAAAAATTATAATATAATATTATATTAAATAATTTATATTTTAAAATAAATAAAATCTTAAATTAAAAACTTTTATTCTTTTGTGAGTTAAAGATTGTCTATACTACATATCCTCTGAATGAAAAAGGTTTATTTGTCTTTTGCAATACTATTGTTTGATCTATTTTATAAGCTATTAATTTATATTTACATTGGCTTGATTATGTCTATTATTGACAGTGGTGGAACTTGGACAAAAAGGAAATAACAATATTATTTTTTCCTCTACTTAACTTGGATAAGCTATTAATGATAGTCTTTTATAAATTATTATTTTTTAATTTTAAAAAGAAATAACAATATTCATCATTTCCTCTACTTAAAACAAACATCTATGATAATGAAATCTGAGAAAAATTACTATCTTTTACTAGTCATTTCATAATATAATTATAAAAGACTATCATTAAATATCAAAGTTACTTTTAGTCAAAGTGCTGGTCTACGCTCTTTCAATAACTTGAAATCTTTAATAATTGTGTCAGAGCTAAAGCTTGTTGCAATATCCCTTTCAATATAGACTACCATATTATCTGCTAAAAAGTCAGTTTCCATCTTATTTATCAATTTAGTCTTGATTATTTTTATTGCAAAAAAAGATTTTTCCATTGTAGCTGTAGAAACTGGAAGAGTCATGATAAGACGGAGTAATCTACCAATCAAGTAGTAAACTTCTGACTTTTTTGTTGTGGCCAAACATGTACACAACTCTTGCATTGTTGATAAATTGTTCAAATTTGAATCTTGATGAGCATCAACAATGAAATGTTAAAGTTGGAAATGCAAATTAATCTTTTCCTACTCATTGAAATCCATGGGATAATATTTATCTACAAAAGTGCAAAGTTTTTCAATATTAAAAGCTTTATAAGCATCCTTAGGAACCAATGAGCTTAAAGTTAATAACTCCATTGCTTGGTCATTAAATCTACAATTCAACTCTTGTAATTGCTTATCAATTGTAACAAAGAATATTTCAACTCTCAAATAATGCTCCAATGTAATATGATCTTTTTGGTGACGAGAGTGTCCTTGCTTTGCTACATAAGAAGGACTAAATTTAGGAACCTCAAGATCATATTTTTCACAAAAAGATGTCACATTTTTTAATAACTTATCCCAACCTTCTTCTCTCAAGTTTTGAATAAGTGCTTTTGTAGAACGAACTAAATGCATAGCATTAACCACATCCTGAGATTGTTGTTGCAAAGCTTGACAAAAAACATATATTATTTCCATAATTTCTCTCATCAAATGCAAGATCAATATAAACTCAAATGAGGTCAAGCTTTTGTAAGCATTATCAACATTCTCACGTTGACAATAAGTAGATTCATCAATAATAATTTTTTCTAAAACAGAACAAGTTGCACAATACATATTTATCAAGCTACAAGTAAAAGAGAAATGGGAGCTCCAAAGGGTATCACAGCTCATTTCAAGTACCACATCAATTTTATACAAACATTACACCCCACACTTTTAAAAAAATTTAATTTTTTATGAGGGTCATTAATAACCAAGTTCAATGCAACTCACCTATAAGTAAAAATGTTAACAACTTAACATTGAGCTTGCAAGAAAAACTAGATGGGAGAATGGAGATTAGGAGACCCAAGAGTGGAGAGTTTACATACTGCATTCTGGAACAATAGCTTGTACGAGAAATGAAGTTTTGTCACACAACCACTATTCTTGGAATAAGAAAACATGTAGAAGCTTATTTTTGGAGAGAGAATAAAATTTGACTTTCAAACTTTCTAACAAATAATAATATAATAATATAAATATAATTTAAAAATATGTAAAAGTATATATAGAAAAATTTGAAAAAAGTTTAGAGGAACCATGGCTCCCCTTGTCATACGGGAGATTCACCCAAGATTGTTGATTTATACAATCTTTCATTTTTTTTCATATTTGTTTATATTATATCTAAATTTTTTTTACTTTTATTTTTAGGTTAACAACATGTCTTCTCTAATTAAAATCAATAAAATAATTTATTTATTTAAAATTCTCAATACAAAGTAAGTCATTAAAAAAATTAATAGATTAAAGCAAAATTTTAAAAAGATCAAATTAAGTTTAATAAAAAATTTATAGCAGATAATAAATCAAGTTTAGACTTCAAAATTATTAAATAGATCAAATTTATTTATACAAAATTTAACTTAGCATAACTTATTTCTCTTCTTATTCTCAATACAAAATATACATTAATATAAAAAAAAAAATACAATTCATGATCAACCAATAAAAATCAATTTTAAAGAAAATAAATTATTTAAATTTAAAAATTATTTAATTTTTGTAAAATTTATATAAATAATTTAGATAATATATAATTATAATTGAACAATTAAATTGATTAAAAATATTTTTTATATTAAATTTTTAACTATAGAAAAATAAATATAAGTTATATTGATATAATTTAATTTTATATATATATATATATATATATATATATATATATATATATATAGGGGCAGGATCTTCTTACACTAGTGTAAGTCTAAAAACTCTTACACTAAATTTGAAATTTTTATTTAACTTATATCTAACGAGTTATAATTTATTATTTCACCGACAGTTAGATATAAGTTAAATGAAAAATTTAAATTTAGTGTAAAACATTTTACTTATACTAATATAAGAAGATCATTTCTACTTTATTTTATGTTTATTTTTCTTGCTTTAAATTTTATTATATTTATAATAATTTTATTTAACTTGAAATAATATTTTTTTATAAAAATACAAACTCTAATATTTAAGATTGATATTAAATAGTTTTAAATGATATTTTTTGAAATATAATTATTACATTCAAAATATATAAATATAATTTTTAATAAAAAATATCGTTTAAATAGTTAATTAAATGATTAAAATATCCTTTAAGACTGAATTTAATAAAATAATAAAACAAGGCGTGAATAATTACTACTACATTAAATAAAGACGTCTCCTTTATGGGGTATGTAAAGTGTATTTAAGTGAAGTTGGGTTCACACATAACACACTTCACCAGAAGCTGAAGCTTGTTTTCAGTGTCCCAAAAGTTCAGTTTCACTTCTGAACTCACCGTTCCAATCAAATCACACATCCCGAAGACAAAATAATAATAATAATAATTAATGTCGTCCATGGAACCCAACTTCATAGTAGCTCCGCTGGACAGTGATCAGATGCCGGCGCCGCCGCAGACCGGATTCAATCACGGAGGATCCCTCTCCGACGACCCCTTCCCCGTCGCCGACTGCTTCGACGATCTGCCCAACTTCGATTTTGAACCTTTCGAATTCAACGACTACAACTTCCCGCCTCCACCGCCATTCGACGTCGGAGAGGCCTTCGATTCGATGTTAATGGGGGAATTGAACGGCTGGTTTTCGATGCTCGACGAGCAACCCGATGATTGGCTCGCCCAGAACTGGCCCACGGAATCCGGTTATCCCGACGGAATCGGAATGGCCGGCGACGGCGGCATCGGCGGCGAGAAGGGTGGGGAAGGGAAAACGGTGGAGCAGCATCACCTGCAGAACAAATCCGTGGACGGGTCCTCGACGGCGGCGTCTGAGTTGAAATTGCTTGGTTTGGTGAAGAAAACCATGGCTCCTGAGAAGCTCGCTGAACTTACAAGGGTTGATCCTAAGAGGGCAAAGAGGTTGATCTTTTTGTTTTAATTAATTATTTCGATTATTCATTTTAAAAACATTATTTTTTAATTATAATTTTAATCTTTAAACTTAATTTAGATATTTAATAAAAAATATTTTATTATATTTTTTATATATAATAATTTTTTTTATAAAAATTATTTTTTTTTATTAATTTCAACTTTCACAACCAAGTTTAAGATTTTAAATTCATAAATGTTTTTTTTATCAAAACAGTGTCAATTACATTAAAGATACGAAATTATAGTAAATGTTTATTTTTTAATTAAAAAATAATATTTTTTAATGTTAAACTCAATTTTAAGTGTTTTGATTAGAAAATGAAGAAATCGAAAAATGATGATACATTTTTTCTTTGTTTACTTGAATAAAAAATATAAAGAATTACTTTTAAAAATAAAATTTCAAGTTTTTAATTTAATTTTTTCTCTCTCTTGCCTTCCCTTCAACCAAAATAAAAGGTAAAGGTTAAAGTTAATAAAATTATTTCTTTTTATACTTATATATTTAAATTCAATTTCTTAAAAAAATTTAACAAAATCAATTTTTATTATTAAGATTAAAAAAATTAAACGTTACTGATTATTTTAATATGTAATAAGGACTTTCAATAAAAAATTAATAAATAATAATTTTTATTAAAATATAATATTTAGTATTATTAATATATTAAATTTAGTGATATCATATAATTTTTAATATATATATATATATATATATATAGATGTATTTATTTAATATGCATAAATTCTTATTATGTATTATTAAACGACATTAAAAAATTTGTTTACTTAATTTTCTCGATTAAAATTGTGTAAAAAAGAGAATATCGGTTAGATTTAAGATTCTAATAAAATTTGTATGAATTAATTTTTAAATAATATTTTTGAGACAATTAATACGTTACAATTTTTATGGGTGTAATTTTTTAATTATAATAATTTATTTCTAATTATTTATATTATATGTAATAAAAATTAATCAATCATTAAAATATGATTAAATAGTTTTTTGAAGTGAGACCAGTGTTTGGCCAATTTTTTTTTCATGCTTCCCCTTTTTAGATAAAATGTCAGATTAATCATAATATTGTTTTTGAAAAAAGAATCTTGAAAGCAATTCTTATTTTAAGGAAAAGAAAATATAAAAGAAGGACCAAATATTACTTTACACTGCTCTGAACCAATCTTTCCTCTTGTGCGTGCACTATCTCGTGGTTTGATAAAATTATTTTCGAACATAATTGGTAATTTTAAAATATTTTTTTTGAACTTGACAAAAATAATAATTCTTCTTCAAGATAAATATTAATTTCGTAATTTTAATATATTGCAACATAAATTTTTATTAAAAAATTACTTTTTATTTGTTTTAATCAGTGTCTAGTTAACAAGATCCTTTCTTGAAAATAAATTATACTAAGCTATAACATAAGTTGAAATTTTTGTGGTGTAGGATTATGGCCAATAGGAAATCTGCTGCTAAATCGAAGGAGAAGAAAGCGCATTATATAAATGAGCTAAAAGAGAGGGTCGAAACACTTCAAACTGAAGCAATTAACCTTTCTTCACATGTTATCTTGATTCAGGCATGTCTTTTCCTTTTCAATTTATTATGCTTCTACATAAACATAGATGTGGTAAATTGGGTGTTAACAATGGCATACATCTGTTTTACTGCTGATTGTGAGTTGTGTGATTGCAACACTTAATGAACACACGTTGTAAAGAACTTTCTTTTCATAGAAGAAGTCAAGTTGTAGGTATGAAGAAGGGAAAATATTAAAAGATCCATAGCATGGCAATAATTAGATTCAATTACTGTCACTTATTTTGAATTTTGTTCTTTCTTTTTAGCAAAATATAATTAAAAATTCTCTCTCTCTCTCTCTCTCTCTCTCTCTCTCTTAAATTTATCTGTTAAAACTACTCATCTAGCTTGTAGGCTTCCCAGCTGGTTTTTGAGAAAGTAATGTTATTTTTTATTTAAAAATTCTACCATACTTCTATAATTTAAATTTTCTCTCTTTTTTCACCAAGTTACTTATACTATTTCATATTTCTCCTTTTTTCTTCCTATCATACTCCTTACACTTTCTACAATAGTGTCTATCTCATTCCTTATGAACTTTGAGAAATTTTGATAGTACTGCACTTATTTAGCATCTATAAAGACAGATAAATACGACAATCCCCTGAAATTTTATTTCAATTTTCATGAAAGGAGGTAAGAGTAACTTTTACCTTCACATTTTGCGCTTATAATACAATCCTCCCCCTTCTTAAAAGGACACTTTCCAACTGAATAGCCATTTTGTTCTTCTGGCTGAATCGAGTGTACTATTTGATTAAATATGTTGAAAGAATTATAATATGTTCAATTTACAGTTTTCCTTTCCTCTTTGGCCATTTTCAATTTTTCATACATGCATGCATGTACATGACTTTCTTTGCATGCATGGAAATCATAATCAACATTCATGCCAAATTTTCTGCCAGACTGTATTTCGTGATTTGTGAATCGTTACTCCTGACTGCAATATTTGAAACGAATCATATACTTTATTATTGTTATTGTATGCTTGAAATGGCTCATCATGATTTATTAATCATCTTATAAACAATTATAATTTGAAACTTTTTAACCATATTTTTCCAATCTATTGAAGTGGTTGGAATTTAAAGCCTGCAAGCAAACAGTATATGTCATGGATCCATAAGACACCTGATAAAATTGAAAGAAAAATATTAGGCAAGAGGTAATGGAGAAAATTGTGCGTGGTATCTAGAAAGAAAATCTGGGATCCAAAGAAAATTCAGAAATAACGCAAGACTGATAATTTCCCTAAGGAGTTTGGATAGGGTTCAATTGTTCCATACCTTATAACCTAAAACACAAGAAATTAACCTACTAACGAGTTTAAATGTGATAAATCTACATGCCTCATTAGGGTATGGTAAAGATGTAAAAGGAACATTTCTAAGTTCTCAGCCTTTCAATGTAAAGAAAAAATTGCTGTACTTCTCCAATTTGGTGATTCTAGATCACATTTCACTTATATAATGATATAACTATAGTTCCATATATCTATGGAATTTCCCCAATTAGTGGAATAGTACTAGTATTTAGGAACTTGAAATCTAAAAAGAGTTGGAAGCATATAACAATTAGTACATCTATGTGGGTGTTTAACATTAACATTGTCGTGAGTGATCACTATACATGTTTTGAAAAGTTTTATAATTGATTGTTGAAAGTTTAATGCAACTTTCTTTTTTTCAACTTGGGACTAACTATGGAATTATAGATGAAGGTACGTTTGTGCTTAGTCATAAACTAAAATTTTGATATTGTACCTTATGTTATTAAATATCTGCCCTATTTTTTATATGATCAAAATGATTTTGGCAGTAACATTAAGTTCGGTTATTAACTTTCGGGGACTATTCTCTCCTTGTACAATTTCTAGATTAAGGTTTAGGACCAATAACGAAGTTTCCAAAAATATAATCAAATTTATAATTACTTTTCTGGATGTTACCTTTACCTATGACAACTTTCAGTACTTGCACATATAGGGATGACATGATATCTTAATATGTTGACTATAGCATCTTTTAATTAGGTTCATGTTCATCATGTTACCTGAGAAAAGTCACTTGTGTTTTTATGGTCTTTGCACTGGAGACAGCAAAAGTAACAAATTCTCTATTCATTCCATGGTGTCCCCCTTTAAATCTCACGGTTGACACGAATCCATTTGTGGTTAGAGATTAATTGTTCTTATCAGCGTTTTAGTGGTGCTTGGCTAATTAATGGTTATTTCTAGAGTTGTCTTTATTGGATATTGATAGAGATTGGTATGCATTACTCAATCGATGTGTAACTTAATAGTGACTTTGATAAATAGAATTAATTAAACTAACCAGGATTGCAATGATTCGTCGGGTCAATTGGCTTCCCCCACTATCCAGGTCTGTTTTATGGGTGAGATTACAGATTCAAAACTCACGGGGTGCTTTAGCATGTGACTTATTAAAAGAAGAAGAAAAAATTATGTTAATTTTGTATATTTAGTAATATTCAGTCTATCTACACATGATTAGAAAAAGAAGAAAAAGGAACAAACGTATTAATATCTCATGTGATGCAGAGAGACACTGCAGATATTGCCAGTCGGAATAAGGCGCTCAAACTATGCATAGCGGCAACGAAAGATCAAGTGAAAATTAGAAATGGTATGTATGGTTCCATATTTTTATATGCCTAAAGCAGTGCTTTCCCTCATATCTCATTAAATTGAATAATAAAAGGTTTAAACATAACTCGTTGCATGAACAATATCATAAATCTGCGTGTGTATCAATTACCGCTTTACTTAAAATTGGGGAATTCTAATGCGTGAAAATTAATCTCAAGTTCGGAAGAAAACGTATCATTACTTGAAGTTTAACGAGTTCTTCTGCTAATTTATGAATATATAGTTATAGTATATTATCATGGATGCATGCAGCCATCACCAAGGCGTTCAAGGATAAAATTGAGATCCTTAAAGATGAGACTGAGCAGATTTATGCTATAACGGGTTATCCTCCTTCATATCCCGAGTTGGTCTCCAAGTTATCCCAGTTATCTGTGAATCAGCTTCAAAATCCTCCATCCAAGAATGTGACTCCTGATGATCAGCAACCACAGCTCTGCATGCCTCCTCCTCCTCCTCCCTCTAATCAGAATTTCAGCGGGTATTGTGACGACCCTAGTTTCTCCAACTTCAACCAACCCAACTAATTCATAATAGCAGCAGTAAATGATCGGTTATGGAGGATAATCATCAGAAGTTAACATTTACTGTGCATATGTGTAATGGGTGAGGCTTGTGAAGGCTATCACTGCAGCTCAGTTTCGTACTTTATTTTTATTTATGTTTTACAGTTTTAGTCTTGAACTATAGCCTATTCTTATTCATTTCCTACATTTCTAGGTTTAAACCGCAGTTTATATTTTATGTTCTACAGTTCAGCGGTAGAAACATTTGAACATGAAGTTTTAGAGGATTGAATTGATGATAAGTGGGAATGAAAAGTATTCATTCTGTTAGCAGTTAGTATAGGTCTCGAAATTAATTACTTTATCAAACTTTAATCGGTTATCTAACGGAAGTGGAAGGAAAAGCCATCTTCACCCCCCCCCCCCCATGCCTTATGTTTGTAGATGTGCGTCTCCCCCTGTGAGAGAAAACCTCCTATGGTTTTTTCTTATAATCTTTGATTAGCACGGGGATCATAGTAAAATTTGACGAGAATATTTATAAATGTTGAATAAAAATATTGGGTAAAATGCATAAATTGATTTAAATAAATATTATTATAACATGCCAAAATATTAACCGAGTTTTATTCTAACTAAATTTGAACAAATTGATTTTAGTTCTTTATCATTGAATCTTCGTCTTAATGTATAGGAGTCGCAACCCAATTAATTAGTTAGTATTATTGCTACCCTAAACTAGAGCTGCACCCCTTTTTGTTTACAAATATCATTTCAGTGAAATTTAGTTTTCGAGCCATCAAATACACAGCACGATAAGGAGGGTGGTTCCAGCTCCCACGCCCTAAAACATTGGGTTCAAACCTTCATTTCCTATTAAAGACTTCCCTCCATTTCCTTAAAGCCTTCGACAATTTATCTACACAGATTGCGAGGGTTTGTGAAGGTGGCACAATCTTACAGACAATGAAAATACCATTAGCCAAAACACAAGAGAGTGGATAACGATAACATTAATGATATGCGGAGGTCGTCTTAAGTTTGATTCCTAAGGATGTAAACTCTCTTAGCACAAAAACTACGTTCAGTTTTTTTTTCTGCAGCCGAGTGCCGCCTTCTTATACATTTGGTCAAGTCCGCTAAATTTGCGTTCTTATATATTTTCCCCCTCATGCGCATATATATATGGTATATAATCTTGTTTTCTATAGTATATATTAAAGACTTTATTTCTATATTCAGTATTCAAGATAAAATAGTCCATATCGATAACATGAAATGAATCTCTAGAATATTCGCCCCAAAAGATAGATTTTAAATGATTTAACTAAAATTAAAATTAGTAAATTAGATTATAGTTTGCCTAATTTAGTTGATAGAATTATTTTCCATTAAGGAGTACGATAGCTAGAAAGGTCAAGAGGGAAGGGATTAAACAAACATAATTAATCTTAAATAATAATTGCACATTTGATGACTAAGTACATTGAGTCATTTATTTGACCTTATATTACTCTCTGAACTCTTCTTGACGACAGTGAATTATGCCATCAGCAAGCACTGTTTCCAGCAACAAGGTCCTTGCAATATATAGAGGCTGATTTGGTCCATGTTGGAACCAATTGGATCGTTTAGGCCTGTTTAAGACAACCTTACTGCTAAGTAGAGGTGTAAAAAAATCAATCAAACCAAATCAAATCATATTTTAAAAAATTTAAATAATATAAATTGATTTTAAAATTAGTTTACTTTTTTAAAAAATAATTTGGTTAATTGGTTCTAAAAGCAATTTTTAAACCAAAATTAGTTATGGCTAAAATGTATTTTAAACTAAACTAGTTTTGAATTAATCCTATTTTTTTAAATAAAACTCAATTTTGAATCGTGTTATTTTAACCATATTTTTAATCAACTTGTGACATGCTAACATAATATACTTTAACCGTCTTTTTTGGGAGTCTCCCAAATGTATAATGTTACATTATATATACGTATGTGAATTAGAGTTTAGGGTTTAGGGTTTTGTTCTTGCGATTTCTCTCTATTTCTCTTCATAGCTAGAGTGCATAGGATCACTGACCACCTTAGGTAACCGCTCTATAGGATGATGTAGATCACAATAATCGTGTAGTTGTATAACTGAGTAACTGTTTGTGATAATTACAAAATAAAGACGACGGTAGTTTTTAGAAGTATTTCAAAACTTAAAATAGGTAGTCATGTTAAATTATTGTATTAGGCCCATATTGTTGATTTCAAGTATAATTCAGTGATCTATTAACAATATTTATATTAAATACACAATAATTTACAGTGAGATTTTTCAATAGAATGAGCGAAAACCTTTTCATCAAAGCAACCACAGATAAAGCAGTAGTTATAGTTATAGGATTGTTTGAAAGAACTTACAAGTAATTTATTAAAACAACTTATAAATAAACTCTTTTTTATCTTATTTAAATTTTTTTTTTTGCAAACACTTATAAAAATAAGCTATTTTTAACTTACAAAAAATAAAAGTTATAATATAAATCTTCGTATAAAATATTATCAAATAAACATACAGTATATATTCAAATGTGCATACAATAATAACTTTTGAATAAGATTGAGATAAAATTGATGAAAACATCCATTGTATCAATTATTTATTCAAATTACATAAATTAATCAACAAAGTTCACCTCCATGAGAATCAAGGATGCAATATACAAGCACAATGTCCAGCACCAATGTCCTCTGCAAGGCATAGAGGCTTTCTAAGTCCATCTTGAAACCAAATCATTCGTTTTTGAACAAATTCATTAACAAATGAGTCCAGCATTTCAATAGTAACGTGTTGCATCACCACCACGTGAGCAATATTTCCTTTGCATGCTAAATTCCACTTACGGGAAAAGTCATCATCTAAAGGCCTCTCAAAGACAACCGTGCTGCTAAACTCATTCGACATTGTGCCAATGCCAGCATCACGTAGTTTACGCCATAAATAATGTGCACTAATTATGCACTTTTGCACCTCATTCTCGATTCCTATCAAACCTTTTTTCTGCAGAGCATACCAAATGAAGATGGGAGCATGCCCACTTTGGCTACCTGTAATTGTAGCATCCCTAGAAGCAATCACTTCAACATCTCTTGAAAGGGTGTTGGTGTGTTCTAAACGGGTCATTACAACACCACAAGGAATTGGACATCCCAAAAACTTTTGGCCAGAAATGGTTATACTTCCAATGGGCTTCTTAAAGGTAGTTCTTGGAGCCTGGTGGGGTTTGGGCCAAATAACAACAATATGAAATTATAATTAAGAATGAGTAAGGTGATGCTTTAGTTAGATAATTTTATAAGTAGGTTTTTACCAGGTACACATTCCCAAACAAAGTATAGCGAGACATTCGAAAAAGAAAAATTGTTATTAACTTGTAGATACGATGTTTCCCGATTTTGTTTGTGTTTGGGTAAGGGGGCAGGTCCAAACCAATCAAATTTGATTTAGTTATTTTAATGATTTCTTGATATTGTAGAATCTCTCGTTATAATAAACCAATTCTAAATAATATTATACTTCATCAACATTTAGCTCTCTCTCAATGGTTAAATTCCTTTTAATATCTAATTACTCAAAATATATATGAGAACAAAGTCGGATATATAATAAATATATAGAGACATTTAATTATAGTTTGATCATTGGGTGATTGAGTGTCAAAATGAATATAAAAAAAGGGTAGAAAAGAATGTTTAGCCTAATTACCGTAGATTAAATAATGGCTTTGAAAGCTTAGAGTATTAAAGATAAAAGAAAATTTTGGTAGTTAGGTTGGGAGTTTGCGTCTCTGGTGAAAAGTATAATTCGGAGAAACAACGAATATTTACTAATTAATTTCGATTGAGATTGAAGTAATTTAAATTAATTATTTAAGATAATTTAAATTAGTTTAATTGATTGACTTCAATCAAGTTCATTTGATAAATTTAAGACATAAAAAATCCATTATGTAGGAGCTAGGTACTTGTTATAGGAACTCAATTTACTACGAAAATATGTAAATAGTTTGATTTTGAAATATTTTGTGTGAAAACTTTTTCATTATCAATCAAGTAAAAAATATTTTAAATAAAAATAGTTATTATAAAAAATTAACACATTCAATGATATAAAAAATATTGATTAGAAGACAGTACAATTATTTTTACCTACCATTTCAATTAAATTCTTCATTAAATATGCATTACGTCAACTATTAAATGAAAAATTAAAGCAATGACGTGGATACAATGTTTAAGAATTTCTCTTCTCGAGATTCATGGAGGTCCCATCTCCATATGCAGCACTTATCACTATTCTTCCTAAGTGCAATATCAAAGTAGTGCTTTTCTAAAAGTAAAAATGGACAATAGTAACATTTACTCACTCGTTTAAGAAAAGGCAGCATCATTCCAGATAAAGCTCCATCACAATGAATATAAAATTGATCTCGAGGGAAGCCACTTTCCTCGAGTGTTTGTATTACGAGATTAATGTTATCAACAGCGCCTTTCATAGTAGTTCCTAATTTATGTACACACACGAAAAATCTCATTAAGTTTAACCAAAATCTGTAAACGAGTAATCGTGGGTGAGTGTATAATATCTTGTTCTTGTAATGTGTTTTAGTTGTCAAAGATGAGAAGACCTATGTTTAGATTGATGATGGCTGGCTTGTTTTTATGAGCAAGAAGTAACGTATCCCCAGTTGTAACGTATCCCCAGTACTCACCCTTCTCTATCTCCCATAGGTTGGCAAACCAGTCTAACACGCAAACTTCAAATTCTGTTGAATTTAGACCAAAGCTGCTTCCTATAAGTGGATCACCAGCATTGTTTAGGTGAAAATGCAACAAAGGTGCCAGTGCTTCATACTCGAAGTCCTGATTAGTAGGGTAACCTGCTTTAGCGGATATCATTAGTGGAGGTCAACTATATATAGAATTGTAGATGAAAAAGACAAAATAAATACAATATATAAAAAGATCAGGCATACCCAAAAAGTGCAATTTGTTTTGATTTAGTGTCCCCACGTAGTGCGTGATTACTTCAGCCAATTTAGCCTGTGTCTCCCCCTTGCACTTCATGATGTCAAGGCTTGTATGTCCATTACTCTCTTGGATTTCTCTACACTTCTCTTCTTGTTTAGAGAGCATGAAACGCTGTGTGAGCTTTTGGAATGTTGAAAGACATCGTCATATTCTTCTGCACTGGGTTCCCCATTCTTTCCATAATTTATATGGTTTTGAGAGTGAGGAAAGACGCGAAGAGATAAATGAATCGAACCATTAATTTGCATAACATTGAGTTCTAATGGTTTGAGGACAGGGCATCTATAGATTCAAATTTCAACAAATGTTTTCAATTCTTGTAGGTTTTCCTAACAAGTGTTTATGAGTAATTAATTACGGGATTGTTTGGAGCATAATTTTTAATTTTAAATTAAAAGAATTATATATTATTTAAGATGAAAAATATATTATTAATATATAATAATTTATATTTTTATTTTTAAAAAATATTAATTTTAAATATATTTATTTAAAATATAAATTTATGCTCTTTCCTTCTTTCTCCTTTAAAACTCTCCATCCCAAATAACTTCTAAAAGATTTAAGAAAACTAACTTTAATTATTTTTATTTATTTATATAATTTAGTTAAAAATGATTTATAAAATAGACAGAAAAAAATGTTCAGTTTTAAGATAAATTTTGTTCGTAACTATAAGCATTAATTTTCAAACAAAAATTAAAATATTAGTATATGCATTGTTAGTCTATAACCAGAGTATAATTTATTGTTCTAGTAGTTTACATACTAATGATATCTAGCCAAATTTATACTATCATAACTATTGATGTGCATAATCACAAAATAATATATATATATATATATATATATATATATATATAACTTTTATTATAAATATTATAGAAATGTAAAAAATATAACTTATGTTGTGAGAAATATCATCACAAATTTGCTACGAAACCTTCTTAAATAAAAACTTATTTTTTTGCTTCATGGATTTTTCAAACAATCGACTTATATCTCACGTTTTATGCAGTTAATATTAATTTTATGTGACCCCATACGTGAAAAAGAATAAGAAAAGTAATAGTATTTAAATTTCACACGATAAAATTTATATTAAAACTAAAATAACGTAAAATATAAGATAAAGTTATTATTTCATTAAAAATAAAATAATTTATCTTACCATAAACTAGGTCAGATATAAAATTTAAGTTTCGTTACTTGACGTTATTATATTAGAGACAATCTGCACGCATTTAGCACCTGTTTATCTTGAAACGTTAAATAATAATTTAAAGTTTGTTATTTTTTTTAATTTTTACACAAAAATCCTTCACTTTATATAAAACATATCGTATCTCACATCATTCTTTTTATTAACAGAAACGTCTATTGGATTATTATTACAACAATTATACTTATATTTGATTTAAACTTTTTATTTAATTTACATCTAACAGTTAATAAAATAATAAATTATAACTCATTAGATATAAATTAAATAAAAAATTTAAATTAAGTATAAGAATTTTTAGATTTATATTAATATAAAAATATAAAAAATTCTTTTTCATATATATATATATATATATATGAATTAATTTACTCAAGTTGACTAACTCATTTTCACGTTTTTATTGAATGAGATAATTATGATTGTATAATTTTTAATATTTTATTAAAAATATACAAACTAATACCTTTAGGAACTGGTTAAAAATAAAAAATAATGATACACTTTTTTTTTATAATTTTTAAAATGCTCTTAATATACTTTAGAATAAAAAAAATTATTTATTAATATCATGTAGACGTTACTTAACAAGATCTTCCCCTTATTATTAACAAAACATGACATGAATATCTTTAAAAAAAATAATTAGTTTTTATATATTTTTTAAAAAAAATTAATTTTTATAATTTTTTATCAAATTTATTTTAATTTTTTTAAAAATAATCCTTACTGTTAATTAAAAGTTGTTAAATAATAATTAAGCAAATAATATGCCATATAATTTTTATCATATGACAATGATAACTTTATACATGATATTTAAATAAATAAATATTTTTTAAAATATATACAACTTTTAGAATTATTCTTTGATAATATTTTAAAATTTAAATAAAATAAAATAATTTGTCATCATTACAATTAGCACTAAAGTGTTTTAGTGTTTAGAATCTACTAATATAGAATGTTTTGAAGTTTTTTAATTATTCTGTTTACATTTTTATGAAAAAAAAATATTTCCGTTGATAAGATGAAATTGAGGGTAATAAAAATAAGTTCTTATACATCACATACAAAGAAAAACTTTTACTTTGTCCCATGTATTAAAAATAAAAAATATAGATTCAAGTGAACAGAATAAAGTAAATTTTCCTACTTTATTATATAATATATTTGTTAATCATCTTGAAAATGATATTTTGTTCTTAAATAATACTACTTGACAAATATTTATAAAAGAAAAATAAGATAAAAAAATGTTGTTAAAGTTATGGTGTTTATTTAAAAGATAATAATAAAATTTATTAAAGATAAATTTATTAAAGATTTTAAAAATAAAAATAAAACTTTATTAAAGACTAATTTTTATGAATTAATTATTTATTCAAAGTATGACACATGAAAAATTAGTATTTGATGTGAAAAGTATTTCATGAAACATTATTTTTTTAGTTACTATTTAGTATCTCAAGAAATTAATAATAAAGACTTTTTAAAAATATCATGGAACTAAAATGGATAAAATTTTGCATATTCCACTTTGTGTACTAAAGTAATCATCAAGAGGCCTTTCAAACACAACCATATTGCAAATTAATAACTCATTATTCAATACATGTATGTATATGCATCGATACAAGAAACCATACATGAGTGTAGAGTCACATTATTTATACGTGCAATGTACAAGCACAATTTTCAGCTCCAATGTCATTTGCAATGCATGGAGGCTTTCTGAGTTCATCGTTGAACCAAATAAGTCGTTTTTGGATAAATTCAGCAACAAAGGAGTCAAGAATTTCAGTAGTAACGTGCTGCATCACAACTATATGTGCAATATTACCTTTGCAAGCCAAATTCCATCTACGCGTAAAGTCATCATCAAGAGGCCTTTCAAAGACAACTGTGTTACTAAAGTCATTCAACATTGCACTAATGCCACCATCACGTAGTTGATTCAGTAGGTGGCATGCATTCAGGGTGCACATATACACTTCTTTCCTAAGTCCTATTAAGCCTTTTTCTTGGATAGCATACCAAAGGAAGATTGGTGCATGCCCACAACGGCTACCTGTGATTGTGACATCCCTTGAAGCAATAATTTCAACATCTCTAGAAAGGGCATTTGTATGTTCTAGACGAGTAATTACAACGCCACAAGGAATTGGACATCCCAAAAACTTATGGCCAGAGATTGTTATACTTCCAATGGGCTTCTTGAAGGTAATCTTTGGGGCCTGCTCAGTCACCCAAACAATGTTAGATAAAATAATAATTTTAATCTACAAGATAATTAATATTCTAGATAATTGGATTGATTTTTATTGAACAAAAATTAATGTGAAGCCCAGATTGAGAAAAGCGTTCCAAAAAACATTGACTTCAATAATATTCAACTAATTACCTCAACTTTAAAGCTTATCAAACGAGGATATAAATTTTAATTTATTTAATATGAACGCAGAGATACATATGAATCGATTCAATTCAGTTTGGAAGGAAAAAAAATCAAAATTAACTTTTTAAAAAAAAATATTTGAGTATGTAAAATAATTTTCAACAAATTAGAACAAAACAACCTTGATTAGGAACAATTTGAATCTTTAAGGGTAATTTTAATTAAAAAAAATGAAAACCTCGTAAATTTATCTCAAGAAACACGTGAACCTGTTACTAAGAATAATACTAAGCCTTAAATTTAAAATACCAATTAAAATATATTTGCTAAGGACTGAAGAATTCCCAAATCCTAAAAAGTTATAAAAATAAATGCATATGAAATATTAAATCAGTTCAATTCATACTAGTTCGTACTTGTGCATAGCCAAAAAGTAAAATTAATTTAATTGATCTGATTCAGCTTGTCAGATTTATTGAATTGCTTTAATTCACTGAACACCTTAAATAAACGAGAATCCTGTGCATGTGGTTTATTAGTACTAGCGTGGTGCCAGGGAGGGGGGCACGAAGGCAATTGTTATCTTATGTATCGGCGAATTGCTGCGCTCAGCCCTTGTACCTTATTGAGTATACCAATTATTTGAGTATTTTTGGCACTGAATTATGAATGTTTTTTGGCTCTATCATAAGAAAAAGAATACATATTTGCCTGTGCAATAACATTTTTTTTTATTAATTGGAGCAAATTGAAATTATACAAGCAAAATTTTAACAAACTTTTTATATAATTAATAAAAATATTATTTTTAATTTATTTAATTTAATCTAACAAACTTCTAATTATTTTGCTCATCTCAGACCTGGTAGTCACGTATCTGACCTCCACTTCTGTATCTCCCATTCCCATGCACAATACCAAATCAAGTAATAACATTTTTTCTTGTTTTTTTTTTTTTTTGGGTTCTTTAACCAATAAATAACTTACTCGTTTGACAAAAGGCAACATCATTCCAAATAGAGCTCCATCACAGTGAATGTAGAATCGATCACGAGTGAAACCACATTCCTGAAGCGTTTCAATAACAAGATCAAGGTCATCAACTCCTCCTTTCATAGTTGTCCCTGCAACAATTAGAACCCTTCTAAGTTTCGCCAACTGTATATAAATTTTAAATGAGAGGGGGTGCATATTGGTTGTCAAAGACGAGAGGAGATACCTATGTTTAGATTGATGATGGCTGGTTTGTCCTTGTGATCAAGAAGTAAAGCCTTTAGATCAATACAATCAATCTCACCAGAGACCAAAACGTTAATCTTCTCACACTGCATTCGGTACATTCTTGCTATTTTGAAAATTGAATAATGTGAATCTTGTGAGGTATATAAAATCCCATCTGGAAATTGCTCTCTCCTGTATAAAAAAGATATAAATCAATATTAGTTATTAAATGTGTTTAGACTTAGAATATATTTTGGAAATATCAGAAGACTATAAATTAATTAAAAAGTTCATCAAAACTGACCCCACGAAAATCCCATGAAGATTGCCTTCAGTTCCACCTGTTGTGACATATCCCCAGTACTCATTCTTCTCTATCTCCCACAGATTTGCAAACCAATCAAGCACGCAAACTTCAAATGCAGTTGAATTTAGACAGTAGCTGCTGCCTACAAATGGATCACCAGCATTGTTTAGGTGAAATTGAAGCAACGGTGCTAATGCGTCATAGTTGAAGGCCTGATTAGTGGGGTAGCCTGCAATAAGTTGAAATCAGTAATTAGTACACTCATTTGGATTTACTCCTCGGTCGTTTGTGTATTATTATAAATGAGTTAATAATACTATTCCAACTATTAACTTTAAGAACTGTTAAGAGTTTGGAGAAAAAAATAGAGAACAGTGTGAGAAAAGATAAGTGCTAAGAGCAAGAAATCTGAAAAAAGAATTGTAAAAACAAGGTGATACTAATTAACTGGTACCTAAGGAAATCATGCTGTAAAAATTAATTACTAAATTTTTATCAGAAATTATTGAAATGAATTAAGATATATGTGTGTATTTTTTAAATTTTATAACAAGATGTTTTTTCTTAACAAGTGTTCTAAAAATATTGATTAACATTTTTTTTAAATAATATTATTCTAAATGAATTGTTTCTTGACATTATAAAGTGATATGCGATAATAAAAAAAAAATCAGTAAAAGTGTATGAAATTAGTGAGTGTAAGAAAAAGTGTCAAAATATCACAATTCCAAAGTTATAAACAGTTAAAGTTAACATTAAAATAACCTTAATATTTTCAACCCCGTTAATTATTTTTAACATACCATTAGGCCACATTTGAAAACATTTCTTTAATTTTCTTTTTATTACATTTTATATTAAGAATAAAATGATGTAAAAGAAATACTTTTTCATATTGTTAACTAACATAATATAAGCATATTAAAGAAAAAACAATTTTTTTAGATAAAAATCCATCATATTCGATGTAAAACTTATTAGTTAAATTTAATTAAAACTATATTTTTATCTCCACAAAATAAACATATTATGTTATTCAATTACACAGAGCTAGAATTAAAAGATATATGAAAGCATATTTCAAAGTAAAAGTGCAAAAAGCTACCCAAGTTGCGCGAGTTGCGCTGAGTTAGGGTCTCGACGTAGTGAGTAATGACTGTAGTCAAATTGTCTTGTGCCTGGCCATTGCAGCGGGTAATGGCAAGGTTCATATGTCTATTGCCATGTTTTCTAGAGTGCTTGACATTGCTCACAGTCGTTGGCAACAGCTCTGTGGCATGATTTGATGGAACGATATCCGTTGCCATGTTCTTCCTCGTTGAATTCTCCATTATTGTAATATGCGCAGCACAGAGAGTATGAGAAAGACAAACGATCGATGTGTATTAATAGCCTGAAAAAGCGACACTAGTGCATGATGTCTCTTGGATTCATTTGTTCAATTATTGGATGTGTATAATAATATTTTATTATTTAAAATTTATATTTATAATAAGTTTTATATTTTTTATATTTGCAGGAAAGTTCATCTTTTTCTCCTTTCACTTTCTTAGTATCCATTCTCACCCTTCTCCTTTTTTTTTTACCATAATATCTCTGTACTTGGGATGTAAATTCTTCTGGTAAATTCACTTTATTTTGAACGGCAGCAATTTCAATTTAATTTTGAATTATTAAAAGTCAAATATTTTTCTGTTAGGAGGAGGTTGTCAACGCTCATACCAAATCCAAATGCACACGACTTTCAGCAGTGTAATTATATTTGAAAGGGAAAGAAAGAAAGTAAAACAGAATTTGTTTGTTAACAAACAAATAAAAAATCTCCGCCATTTGAACCGAAAAGGAAACATAGAAACAAAAAAAAATCTCTGACAATAGACAAATAAGTATAAACAATCAAACCACATGAACAAAACTATGATAAGATCAGTAAATTATATTAAAATAGAACACGAAATATTTTATTGCGATACATAAAAAATACACAAAACAAAAAACAACTCATGTAAAAGTACGAACCAGGTGAAATCGAGCACATATACGTCATTTTATTTATAAATATTAATTTTAAATAATAAAATATTATTAAATTAAATAATGTAATATTTTTTAATGTTAATTATATTTAAATACAGTTTAAGAAAAATAATGATAGAGATTAAATTTTAATCTCTACTTAGTTAGTTCAGCATATTTAATAAAGGAGTTGAGAGTTAACAAGCAATTAGTTTAATACCCAAAAGAAGAGAGATGATGAAAAGACTAAATCTTAACTTTTTAAAAATTAAATATTAACAAAAAAATTTATAAAAATTTATTACATAAAAATATAATTAAACCTTTTTAATTTTAAAACTATAATTTTATTAAAAAAATTATAAATTTTTTTTTTTTAACTAGAAGCTCTTATTCTTGTAATTATTTTTTTTTTAAATCTACTTTGCACAAAATTTGAAAAAAATAAAATTAAATATAAGTCTTAGTTACACGTACGACACTAGTGTCATAGCTCATTACGTGCAGTAGAAGTAGAAGATTTTTATTTTATTTTATATTTTTTTATTTCCCCTAGGATTCAAGATTTATTTGAAATATTATTCTCATCTTATTAGTATACGTAACAAGATAGTGGTAACAAAATAAGTATTATTATTTATTTACAAGAATAAAACTAAAAAAGCTTTGGAAAAAAGTTATTTAATTATAATTATCAGAATGAACACCGCTTTTATCTTTCTTTTTGCATTTTTTTAATAATAATAATTATTATTATTATTAAATATAATAAAATATCAATTTATTGTACTATAGATGAAAAATAAACGGCATTAGGATTACATCATAAAAAATTAATAATAAATAGATTAATCGTAATATTAATAAATAAATTAATTAGATTATATAAAAAAATTATAAACCAATTTTATTAATATTATCTATATAAATATAAATTGTACAATAACATTAAAAAATATATTTTAAATTTTGTTAATATTAATAAGTATTTATAAAATTATTTTGTATCATTTTTTATAACATTATTGTATTTTTAAAATTATATATTTATTTTTTATTAATTATATAAATTCAATATTAATACATTTTTTCTTAATTTTTCATATTGTTTTATTATACTTTTTATTACAATTTATATTATATGTCCGATAAGGATTCGTGGTATTTAATTTAATAATAAAAGTAGTCGTTAATTACTCAAGATTTTTTATTATGAATAAATTGACAAATAAATTGATAAGAAAAATGCTATAACATAATTGAGTACTTTCAAGTCAATACTATTAAAAAAAAGAGCAATACTATTTATTGTACAATAACACAAAAATGAAAATATAAGGTTAAATATATTTTAATTATTTCTAAATAGAACTTATTTTATATCAGTATTTATTATTATTTTTATTTTAATACCTAATTAATCTTTTTTCAATTTTATACATATGTAAATCTTTGTTAGTTAAATAACGATGTGACTTACAGTTTATTATATTATTCCTAATTTTTCTCTTCTATTTTACCTTTAAATTTTCACATCACCAATCCAAATAAAAAAAAATGAAACATAACTTATAAGTTGCTTTTTTGAAGAATAAGAGAAAGAGGGCCAAATCAATAATTCTATAAAAAAACACTAAAAAGAAAAATAAACTGAAGACGAAGACGAAAGAAAAAAGAATAATCATAAAAGGAATAAGAAAATTAAATTTCCTTTTTCATTGATTGTCATTGTCCATTTCAATCTTCATTTTTAATCTTCATCTTTACCAAAAAAATAGTGTGAGTAGTTTTTTTATACTTATTTGCACAAGTTGTTGTAACTTATGCTCTAGTTAGAATTTAAGTTCAACTAGTTGTATTTGGGAATAGATTTGTATTTATGTGTTTACAAATTTATTTGTATTTAATTTATAAGAACTTAATTCTTATAATTATTTTTGTTGGATTAAAAAGTCTGTAAATAGAGATAATAAATTTGTTATCTCAAAATAAATCTGCACAATTCAAAAATTAAAAGACAAAGATAGTAATTTAATGAAGGTTAAAAAAGTAACTAAAAAAATAACAAAAAATAAAAAATAAAAAAATAGTAAAATTTAAAAAAATGGTGAGTCACGTTACTATCTAATAGATAAAGATTAATGTTAAATATAAAATTAAAAAATTAATAAATAATAATTTAAAATAAATTCTATTTAAAAGTAGTTAAAATATATTTTAAAAAAATTACATAAATCAGACTGCTGCAAAACAGTATAGTAGTTGTAGCTGAAGGAAATTCACAGAAGAAATTATGTCAGAGGCCCACCAGTTTGCAAGAAGGAACTGGTCCAATCAAACATTAATAATATTAAAAAAAACAAAAGATACGATGGAACTTGTCCAAAATAATCACGTGCACACATTTACCCTTTCAACGGAAAGTTATTTTGGGAGGGAAGATGATATTTTTAATAAAAATGGAAAGAAAAATTAATGATTGAATAGATGATATAATAAAAAAAAATTATTATGAGAATAATATTATTATTCTAAAAAAGAAAGCTAACAATATGTTTTTCTATACATACTTTATATTACTGATTAAAATTTATTAAAAATTATAATAATTATGTAAATTTTATTTTTTACTTATAAATTAATATTTTTATAAATTTTGATTATTTTTAATTAATAATAAAAAATATATTAAAAAATGTTAAAGAGTATGTTATTAATTTTTTTATTTTTATTAGACCGCCTTCTGTTCAAATGACGTATTATACTACTAAAGCTATCAAGTGACGTGCAAGCTAAATGTAACTTATGTTTAAACATGACTGATATCTTATTCTCCCGTATAAAATATTTAAAAAATAGTGTAATTTATGTGTAATTTACAGGTTTTTTTATCTATTAAAAAATATGTTTTAAAATTATATATAAATAGTACATATTTAAAATTTAATTTTTATTTTATATTATTTTAAAAATTTATTGAAATCCTTTTTTACCACATGTAACAAGCACATACACAACAGACACAAGCAAAAAAAAAAAATGAATCATAAGAGATAATTACAAATTCCAAAGGATCAAGAGTGCCCCTAAATATATTACTCAAACACAATAATAATAATAACAATAATAAATAAATAAATAAATTACATAACAGAGAATTTGACATACATGTAATGTCAATTTTAGTACAAATAACTTCTCTCAACAATTACCTTCTTTTTTTTATTTGATTTTAGGCATACAAATTTTCTATAATTCTGGCTCTCAGTTGTGGTCAGTAAAGGTTCAATGGAAAAGTTCCTTTACAGTGAAAACATAAGTTTTCTTTTTTTTTTCCTACGTTAATGTAGCTACAAAGAAAATATTTTAATCTAAATGTCTCTTTATTTGTTCGTTTTATTTCTTAGGGAAAAAAAGAAGAAGAAAATGTACACGTTATTATCATTAAAGTATCAATGACACCTAGTGTTTGACGTTAACTTACAAATTCTAATGTTAGTATTAAAATAAATAATGTAACACATTGAGATTATTTAATATTTTTTTCATCTTCTAAAAGTAAAATGAGTAAGGAGAACATTTTAAAAACTAAACGGGACTAAGGTTTTAATTTGATATAATTATAAAAGAATATGGGCATGGGTTTGGACGTCCTTTCACTCTCTCTTGTGACTTGTCTCTTGTTATTTATTTTATAGGTATATATAGAAATGTTTCATTTTCGATGATAACAAACACACAGATATATTTGATAATAAAAAAAAAAATTGATTTTCTATGGCCTAACTCTCATGATGCACCCTCAGTACTATTTGGACATGATTCATACCTACACACATTATTCATAATTAAAAAATGTGAACAAATTAATATGACACAAAATAGTAGTTATTTCAATTAAGTGAATAATTATGCAATATTTTATAAAAATGATATCAGTTTAATAAATAGTTAACTAATGAACTTGTCATCAAAATAGCATATAAATTATCCTATTAAGGAGTATCATGATTAATGCTACTAGTTAAAAAATTAATAAATGGATTTTTATTGAAATTTATAATAAAATTGAATTAGAAATTATAGTGAAAATGTATTAATAATATTTTTTACTGTAAAATTTTTTAAATTGATATTCTGAAAATATTTTTTCTAACATTTTTCTTTATAAACCGGAATAGAAATAAGTTTAAATAGACTAAAATAGGTTTGGTCTATTTCTCAACAACGTTTTTTCATAATTGATTAACTACCTAACTTTTTTTTTCTTTGGTCTTTCTGTATAAATAAAAATTCAATTTAACATAATAAATGATTGACAATATATGTTTTCTTATGCTTGAGGAGTATGCAACCGTGGCTGTGGTAATGAACTGCCCACGCATAGGTAGCATTAATTGGGCGGTCCTCAAAAATTCACAAAACATACATATTTTAAATATGTCATTCCTCTAAAATGTGACACCTAATACTTTGTGAATATTTATATCATTAAAAGTTGCAGAAAAATATATTTTTTATATTTTTTCAATTTAAATTTTCAAGAAAAATTTTTCTGAATAATTTATTCCCCGGCAAAATGCAATACATTACATTATGTTACGTGAATTTTAGAATATATTGAACCAAGATATATAAATTTAGGAAACTGAATTCTTTCCACATAAATCAATACATTACTCTTTTGACAAATAATTTGATCTATTTGGTAGTGTTCATGCTATTCTTTGGCTGAAATGAGTTCAGGCAACAGAGATGTGTGATACTGATTTTTCAGCCTTCTAAAACATATTGATTAAAGAATTAATAAATAAAATATTTATAAAAAACTATGCTAAGTACTTATTAAAAATCATAACATGAATATATTTTAAATTTTTTAATTAGGAATTTTAAAATATTAATTAGTATTTTAATTTTTGTGGTGTGTTGTTTGAGGATAGGGATAAAAACATGTTAGACTAAACTAAGTTTTGTATAAATAAGTTTGACTTGTTTAGTAAGTTTGAGTCTAAACCTGCCCTTTTACTTGTAATAAGCTTTTTATTAAACTTAGCCTGAACTTTTTAAAAGCCTAATTAGTATTGAAATATTCAATAAGTCATCAAACTTTTTTATAAATAAGCTATTAAACTATCTAAATAGGTATTTTTTTAAAAGTTGTAAGACTTATATTTAAATAAATTATTAAAAAAATTATTCAACACCTTAAATATGTATAATAAACTTACATATTTCTATTTATTATTTTTAAACCACATAAATGTATTCAAAACAGCGCAATGTAAATCATTGTTATGTTATACGTATAAGATATGCAAAAGACTCTAACAAGTAGGATTCTCTTTCTTAAAGAGTATATAATAGAAACATTCTTCAATTCAATGAAAATATTTAAGATTTTAATTTAAAATTTTATTATTTTAAAATTTAATTGATTAATAATATTGAAATTTATTTTTATTGAACAATTAAAATTGTCTCCCAATATTTATAATTGTCTTAAAAAATTCAATATTTATACATTATTAAAACTTTTTTCTCGTAAAAAATATGTAACAAAGACATTCTTCAACTCTAACAAAAAGTATTAGAATTTTTAATTTAAAATTTTATTATTTTAAAATTTAATTAATTTAATATATTATTATATTATAATTTTATATAAAATTATTTAATATATTATTATAAATTTTAAATAGGTTATTCTAATAGGCCTAATAGATTTTTTTTTAAGCTCAAATTTGACCTATTTAATTAATTAAATTTTTTAAAAATCTAAATCAATCTTATTAATAAAATAAACTAAATCAAACTAGACCTTATTCTTCTATTAGATGACCTAGACTATTTTCATCTCTATTTAAGCGTGCCTAAATTTCTCTACAAGGTCCTATTTATTATTATAGATAGGAATTCCAAATGGTACTTTGGTTGCTTGAATATGTAAAATTCAATAGTGTGTGGGACATTGAATATATATTTTTATTTTTTAATATACATATTTAAAAATATTAAAATCAAATAGGACACCAAACGTTTCCGTTTAATTAGTGCAAGATTACAGCTGATTACGAATACTATTAGTCAATTTGTGATTTTAATCCGTGTATACACTGATCTTACGCGCGTGTTTTACCGAGTATTTATCTCGTGGTAAACTTTAAAAAATAATAATAGTAATAATATATTATTTTATATATTTTTTATAACACGCATCTTGTTATTTATTAAAATTAATAAAAAAATTATGTATATTTAATTTTTTTACTTTTAAATTAATATTTTTTTCATATATTTTTAATTTTTAAGAAATTTTAATTAATAGAAAATATATATATATATATATATATATATATATATATATATATAAACTGTCTTGAGAGGTTTGTTAGTAGTCTTGGTCTTAAAAAGTAGAACGTGAACCACATTGGGTCAATGCATTGGTCTTGTGGTTGTAGGTAAGAGATCTTGCTACAGCTATATGGGCCAACGTAATATTATGGTAAATTATCTTTTAATTTTAAAGTCAAATCAGTTTAGATTGTCCTTATATCGAAAGGAAAATTCCGGTTGATAGAACTAGAAAATTTGCATTTTAGGAAGAAAAAAAAAAAATACTGGAATAACACATGCATGCACTCAATCTTGTGTCAGGTTGTATTATTTGTAGTGTCAACGACCTTATTGTCTATAACGTATGATGATCGTTTAGCCAGTTTATGTTAATTTTTACAGTTTTATTTCAAAAGTAAAGTGGCAGTGAAAGCCAAATATACAGGAAAGTCATATTTCATATGGCTTCATTCATTGAGTCAAATATTTAACATCGCACACTTTTTTTTTAAATGGCTTTTTGTTCTACATGTAAAATACTATTTATCTCTAGAATTGCCGGGTACAAAGTCCTTTAAACAAAGTCATAAAATAAAAGGTATACTCAATTTAATTAAACATCTATTTAATATCTTTTAAAAATAACATAGTATAAATTGACATATAAAATTGATAAAAAAAAATATAAAAACAACTTACTTTATTGTACAATTAAAAAAACTTATAAAAAAATTATAAATTATTCGTAGAATCATTTAAATAAACTCTAAATATAAAATGATGTGCTTAAAGGATTTGAGTCATTTGTGCTCAAACCAACGCTCGTTACTGATTAACATCATGTTTAACATACTCTGAATCCTGATTAGGGGTGCACAAAAAAATCAAATATAAAAGCTCAATCCATAACTAAGCCTAACCAGTTTTAAAAATCCAAATATTTTGAAAAATCAGAAAATTGAATCCGTAACTAAGCTCAACCGGTTCTAAATTAGTTTTAATATATTAAAATCAGATTGGATTTTAGAAAACCAGATTTATTATTCTCATTTCTTCTAAACCCTAGATTTCTTTTTTATTTGGTTTTGGTTCACAGCGATAGAGTGTGATTTGGTTTGCTGCAACAGAGTGTGATGCAATTATTGTAGTTGTTTGATGAAATTTGACAATGGGACAAGTTCCATGCTAGCTCATTCAAAGAAATGTAAAAATAATCCCAATTCAATTTCATCATCAATGGCAAATGCAGAAAGACATGTTTCTTCTCCTTCAATTGCCAAATTTGACCAAGAGAAGTGTCAGATAGAATTAGTGAAGATGTTTATAGCTATGGAAATTCCTTTTCGATGTGTGGAGCATGAATCATTTCAAAAGTTTTTGAATGTTTTTCAACCAAAATTTCATGTCATTTCACGTAGTACATTAGCACGTGATGTTTTAGGCCTATGGGAGACAAAAAAGATCAAATTGAAAAAATTTCTTTCTTAAAATTGTCAAAGAGTTTGTCTTACCACTGATACATGGACTTCTGGTCAGAATCTTAGTTATCTTTGCATGACTGGACATTTTATTGACAATAACTAGAAGTTGCAAAAAAAAGATTCTAAATTTTTGTCAAATTACTAGCCATTCAGGAGAAACTATTGCTAAGACTATAGAGAAGTGCTTGGATGGGTGAGGGCTGAATTGCGTTTTAAGTTTGACAGTTGATAATGCTTCATCAAATGATGTTGGTATTCAGTATCTAAGAAAAAGGCTATTATCTTGGAGCAGTTTAGTTTTGGATGGAGAATATATTCATATGCATTGTTATGTACATATTTTGAATTTGATTGTAAAAGAAGGTTTAGAGGAAATTGATGACTCTGTTTTAAAAATTCGTGCTGCAATGAAATATATAAGATCTTCTCCTTCTAGATTGACAAAGTTTAAGGCATGTATTGAACGAGAAATTGAATACAAAGGTCTTGTTTGCCTAGATGTTGAAACTAGGTGGAATTCAACTTTTTTTATGTTAGAAGGTGCTTTGAAACATCAAAAGACATTTGAAGAGCTTGAAATGCAAGATAGGAAGTATACTGAAGAGTTAAACAAGGGGAAGGGTCTTCCTATAAGTGAAGATTGGGACTATGTTCGCTTAATATTACCATTTTTGAAAATTTTTTATGAAGCTACTTTGTGTATTTCTGGTTCATCTTATGTGACAGGTAACATGTATATGTTAGAGGTTCTTGGAATTGGAAAGAAGATCAATCAAATGTGTCATCAATCCAAAGATGCAAGAATGAAAGAAATAGCTACAAGAATGAAAAAAAAATATGATAAGTATTGGGGAAATCCAAACAATCTAAATATGTTGTTGTTTATTGCTGTTGTATTGGACCCTAGATACAAATTGAAATTCATAAAATGGTTGATTTCTCAAACTTTTGGTGTTAGTGAGACAATGATATTGAATGAGAAATTAGAAACTTGTTTGGAGTCTCTTTTTGAAGAATTCAAAGGTAAGGAAGCAGGATCTCAAGGTGATTTACAAGAAACAATATTAAATGATGATCGTTATGACTATAGTGAATTTTTTAGGGTAGCAATGATGATCGTTATAGATATAGTCAATTTTTTCGATCAAGTAGAAGTAAGAATTATGAATTGAGTAAGTACTTGGAAGAAACTTTAGAAAGTCCAGAAAATTTTGATATATTAAATTGGTGGAAGTTAAACTCAAGTAGATTTCCAATCCTTGCAAGCATTGCAAGAGAGGTGTTGGCAATACCTGTCTCCACTGTAGCCTCTGAATCTGCCTTTAGTACTGGAGGAAGGGTACTCGATTCTTACCGTACTTCCTTAACACCTAAAATGGTGGAAGCACTTATTTGCACCCAAGATTAGCTTAAGGGATATTGTTCACCATTACTTTCAAATGAGGAGTTTGAAGAGCTTGAAAAATTTGAGCAAGGTAAGAACTTTCATTATGTTGTTATTAACTATATTAAAAGTTAATAAATAATTACTAATTATATATTTTTTATTTTGCAGAAATAACTTCTCAACAAGATACTGCTTTTATAGCTTCTATGCCGCTTGATAATGATTAAAATGGTAGTGTTGTAATAGTTGTTAAGATGTGTTGATGTTTAAATTTCTTGGTTATGGATAATGTTCTATGGAATTATGATTTCTTTTAAAATGCTCTTTGGCTAAGCTTTTTATTCTAATTTTTGTTTGTGTGTAAATTCTCATTGTGCCAAGCTATTTTTATTAATATATTGTATGGTATTATTTTTACATTTGCAGAGAATCTTTAATCTGGTGGTAGCTGAGAAGCGTAAGACAATAGAGTGTAGAGTAGAAAGCATGCATGATTCTGTTCTTAGAAGAATCATTGCCAACGATATTTGTCAATCAATGTTGCAATATAAATGAATGACTAATGCATGTTGTGTTGCTGTTTCCTCTTCCAAAACTCTAACTTGTTACAGCACGAGTATTAGGATTAGTTGCTTTCATTTTTTAAGATAGAAAATCTGTAGAACCTCAAGAGATGCATCAATTAAACTGTGGGACACTTATTGTTCCTTTCGGTATTTGTGTTTTATACTTTTGCTCAGTTTGTGCACTTGTAAAATCAAAAATTGAAAGCATCATTCATAAACTTTCTTCATGCATGCTCACAATTGAATTAAATTGTTCCTTTTATGCAATTGCACTGAACAAGTCTATTAGTATGGCTTAACAACTCTGTACAGGGATAAGGGAGAGTATTTGTGTTTAAAAAAAAAAAAAGCTCAGAAAAATAAATATAATTTTGATTAAAACTGGATTTAAAACTAATTTTAACTAAAACCGGATTTAAAATCAGTTTTAATTAAAAATGGATTTAAAATCAATTTTAAACCAAATCCAAATTTTAAAACTAGTTTTAAACCGGTTTTCAAAACAATAAAATAAATAGATTTAAAATTCAATTCATATAATTGAATTTGAAATAGATTTGAATTAGTTTTGTACTAATCCAATCTATGCACACCCCTAATCCTGATAACGAATTGTGCATTGAACTAGCACAATTTCCAGAACCGACATCATTTGCAATGCATAGGGGCTGAAACCGTTCCTCTTCCAACCAAATGGACCGGTTCTGAAGAAATTCACTTACAAAGGAGTCTATAGTGTCAACAGTGACATGTTGCACCACAACCACGTGCAATTTTACCTTTGCATGCCAAATTCCACCTACATGTGAAGTCCTCATCCAGAGGCCTCTCAAAGACAACTGTATTACTAAATTCATTTAACATTGCACCAATGTCACCTTTACGTAGTTGATCCAATAAGTGGTGTGCATTCATCATACATTTCTGTACTTGTTTTTTGAGTCCTATTAAACCTCTTTCTTGGAGACCCTACCAAAGGAAGATTGGAGCATGCCCGCTACAACTACCTGTGATTGTGATATCCCTTGAACCAATGTACTCAACATCTCGAGATAAGGCTTTGATGTTTTCTAAGCGAGTTATTACAATACCACAAGGAACTGGACATCCCAAGAACTTATGGCCAGAAATAATTACACTTCCAATGGGTTTCTTGAAGGTAATCTTTGGTGCCTGTCCAATCACCCAAACAATATTTTAGATGAAATAATAATTTCAATCTATGAGATAATTAATAATGTAGATGATTGGGCTGGTTTAATTTACATATACGCTTTATTGAACAAAAATTACTATGAAGCCTAGATGGAGAAAACCGTTGTACCAAAACACGACGTAATATTCAACTAACGATCTCAACTTTAAAGATTTTAATTTTAATTTATTTAATAAGCAAGTACATGTCCCACCCGATTGGGCCTACGTACTGTTCTTGGTTTAAAATATTGGTTTTATTTTATGTTGTCAATATGTAATTAAAGAGGTGTAAGGTTGTCCATATAATTGAAACCAATTTCCAGTTATTTTAGTCATTTGACAAAAGGCAACATCATTCCAAATAGAGCTCCATCATAGTGAATGTAGAATCGATCCCCAGTGAAACCACATTCCTGAAGCGTTTTAATAACAAGATCAAGGTCATCAACTCCTCCTTTCATAGTTGTCCCTGCAACTGTATACAAATTTTAAATGAGAGTGGGTGCATATTGGTTGTCAAAGACGAGAGGAGATACCTATGTTTAGATTGATGATGGCTGGTTTGTCCTTGTGATCAAGAAGTAAAGCCTTTAGATCAACAAAATCAATCTCAGCAGAGACCAAAACGTTAATCTTCACACACTGCATTCGGTACATTCTTGCTATTTTGAAAATTGAATAATGTGAATCTTGTGAGGTATATAAAATCCCATCTGGAAATTGCTCTCTCCTGTATAAAAAAGATATAAATCAATATTAGTTATTAAATGTGTTTAGACTTAGAATATATTTTGGAAATATCAGAAGACTATAAATTAATTAAAAAGTTCATCAAAGCTGACCCCACTAAAATCCCATGAAGATTGCCTTCAGTTCCACCTGTTGTGACATATCCCCAGTACTCATTCTTCTCTATCTCCCACAGATTTGCAAACCAATCAAGCAAACTTCAAATGCAGTTGATTAGAGAGTAGTAGGTGCTGCCTACAAATGGATCACCAGCATTGTTTAAGTGAAATTGAAGCAAAGGTGCTAATGCGTCATAGTTGAAGTCCTGATTAGAGGGGTAGCCTGCAATACGTTGAATCATTTATCAGTACAGTCTTGCATAGTAAGAAATGAGTCTATCACACTCATTTGGAATTACCCCTCGTTTGTATTTTCTCATAAATGAAATGAATAATACGATTCTAGTAATTGATTTTCATATCATGTTTCACATGAAGGAGAGAGATTGGAAAAAAAAAACACAATGTAAATAAGTGGTAAGTGAACTATAAAAAAGTATTGACTCTAAATGAATTATATTTTTAAATTATCAAGTGACACGTGATAAAAAAAATGATAATAAAAGAACACGAACGATTATAAAAAAAAAAAGTGCCAAAATATCATGACTCTATACTATAGAAAGTTAAATTTAAAATTAAAATAACTTTAATATTTTCACCCTCGTTAATTATTTTTATAACACCTTACGCCACATTATAAAATATTTCTTTTATTTTCTTCTTATTGACTTGCCATTTTATATTAAGAATGGAAAAAAATGTGAAATAAAAAAAAAACAAAATTTCTCATGTTATTGACTAATATGATATAATCATATTATAAAAGTTTATTATGATTAATTATAGACTTGATTACAAGTATTTGTTTTTCTTTTTAAAACATATTATGTTATTCAGTAATACGAAAGAATATAAAAAGAATAATAAAACATTTTCCCAATTAATAAAAAACGACAAAAATTAAAGCTACCCAAGTTGTGCAAGCTGTTATGAGTTAAGAGTTTGCATGAAGTGAGTAATGAGTGAAGTCAAATTGGATGGTGTCTGGCCAGTGCAGATTCACATGTATATTATTCTCTTTAATGTGTATCTGCTTCTCATCCTTTCTATGGCGCTTAGCATTGCTGTCAAACGTGCGCAACGGCTCTGCGGCATGAATTGATGGAATGAAAGCCATTGCTCTCTGTTCTTCCTCGCTATATTCTCACGAACCATATGGTCAAAGCAGGGGAAAGCCTTTAGTGTTATCACTCTGCCGTTCTGAACAAAAAGCACTTTTCTAACCTGCGTCAGATGCAATTGCAAGTGATTTGGTTAAATCAGAAGAGAAAAATCTATTAGTATACAAAATTCATTATAGGATTTATTACAACGTAAAAAAATAAAGAAAAAACAGTGATAATACCACTGATCGAGCAAATTTAAAACATTGAAACTATATTTTATCCATTTAATTAAAATCAATAAATTCATCTTTATATTTTTTTAAATAAAGAAAAATTTGAATTATAATTTTGAACCAAAATAAAAAATATAAAAAATTATGTTGGGAATCTTTTAGAAAAGATAATATTTTTAATTATTTATTAAAAACCACATTATGAACAATTTTAATAAATAAATAATGTATTTCAATAATCATTTATTTAAATATTTATTCAATAACTTAAAATAATAATTCATATCTTAGATTTAATCATAAAATTTATGAAGATAAGTTCAAAATAACCTATTTTAATATGTTATGCTAAAACTTTTATTAAAATAAAATAAAAATAAAACTATGTATAAGATGTATAAGTTTTTTTATACACTATTTATGAATTCTTCTAAACATACTCAAAGTTAAATATTAATTTATATTTTACATACTATGTTTAAAAATAAAAAATCACATAATTAGAGTAAATTTATGTTATATTTTATTTTTAAAAATAGAAAACTATTTTTAAAAAAGAAATTATTGGGAGTAGAAGATTTTATTTCATTTTTATATTTTCTATTTTTGGTAGGATTCAAAATTCATTTAAAACATTAATCATAATCAATTAGTTAACATCACAAGACACTGGTTACAACAAGTATGATTGTTTATTTACAACTTAAATTACTGGAATAAAACTAAAAAAAAATAAAATTTGTAAGACAATTGTTATTTAACCATCAATGTATTGTCGTCATCAAAATTAACGCATTTTTGCCTTTTTTTCACATTTTTTTATTTAATAATAAAAACATTTAAATATAACACAACGTTAATTTATCATACAATAAATTAATCACAAACAAGTGAGTGTCACATAAAAAAATTCGTGATATATGTTTAAACAAAATACATTAAATTTAATAATATCTAATTAATAAAGAATTATATATAATTTATAAAAAAATTATTGATATAAATATAAATTATACGATAAGTTTATAAAATATATTTTAAATTTTGTTTATATGAAAAAATATTTAT